TTCCAAATTTCAGTTCCAGTTCTGCGACAACGTTGCCTCCATTGTCGGAGTAATCAAAAATTTTCCCGATTTCGTAATGCTCCTCACTTTCTTCCGATGTAGTATCCGTTCCTGAAGACGATTCCTCTTGTGAAGTACTCTCTTCCTTCATCTCCTTGATCGGCGATTCGGTTTCCGGTTCTTTGATTTCTCTCTAGCTCGACACACCTTTTCGAAGTGATTTTTTTCCTTTGCAACGATGACATCTCTTGCCGAGTGCAGGGCACACACATTTAACAAACTCGTGGCCACAAACGAAGTGACAGACGGAGCGGCTCGAAAACTTTGGTGACTAACCTGCTATTTCAATTTTTCAGTGTACCACATGGCAACACCACTACTACTGGATTGTACCACATGGCAACACTACTACTGGATTGTATTAGCATTTTCACCAAATGTATTAGAATGTTTTGGTTCTATCTCTTTCACTCTACTCAAAACTGAAATGCATAAAAAAATGACAAAATGATACACTCTTTGCACACTGTCCAATAATCATTGTACACAAAATCAACTTTGTTCAAATCAAAACAAAAAAACTAACCCATCTGGTGGATGATGGCACAAGCTTCCAAGAAAATTCTATTACAGTGAACCACATTATTTTAATGGATTTCTTCGTCAGTTAGTCGTCTGTCACTTCGTTTGTGCTCGTGGCTGTCCCCGCAGAACTTGCAGCGTTGTGCTTTCAATGGCTTCGAACGATTCTTCATTTTCTTTACTTTGTTGACTTCCGTTCCGGGTCCCAGAACACCTAGCTCCTGCGAGCGCCTGGCTGTTATCTCCTCCGCACGACACAAATCGACAGCCTTCATCAAAGTGATATCAGCAATCGTTAACATCTTGGTTCTCAGATGCTGCCACTTGTTCGACGTTACCACCTTGTACGTAATCAGGTCCGTCTCCAACGGTCCTAGCTTGGCCAACTTAGCCATGACCTTGAGTCGTGTAACAAAATCGTCGATGGCCTCACGACTTGCTTGCGTTGCCGAGAAAAAATCCAACCGATCAACGATCACGTTGCGCTTTGAGACCACTTTCTCTTTGATAGCAAGCAGAGCTGCTTGAGAATTTGCCTTCTCCTCCATGGTGAGTTCAAAATTGAAATATTTCTTCCTCGCTGGTTCACCTACCACAGTCAACAAGAAACTGACTTTTTGAGCATCCTCCTCTTGAGGCCAACGGTCCATTCCGATGGCTTTAGAGTAATCGTTCCAGCTCTTTTCAAAGAACTCGAAATTTTCTTCCATATCCCCCACCAAGGCCAATGGTGAGGGTTGCGGCACCTGCACACTGGCAGCGCACGGTTGCTGCACTTGCTGCTGCTGACACTGCTGCGGTTGCAAAGCACCTGACGATGTATGCACTTCCTGCAACATCTGACGCATCACGTTGGTCTGATGCTCCAGGAACATCTTGAACTGGCTGGCATCCATTTTGATGAGGACTACCACCAATTTTCACTTATAAAGCAAAATGGCCGCTAAAACCAAGCGACTCACCAAAACGATTGCTTTTCAACGAAATGTTTGATTTTTTTCCGCGATTTAACTTCACCGTCACAGAAAAACCGATTTGAAGCTCGCGATAGCTTCTGACACCATGTTTTGGTGTTAATAAAACGCGTAACTAACTTTTTACTTATCTTTATTAACAACCATAATACCCGCATAAATCACAACCATACGATTACCACATTGAAAATGGTTTATCTTCCTCTGAAAACCATAATGAGAAAGGTTCAGTCAACTTTAATCAAACCATACCTAGATAAAGTTTTGACCATATGGATTAAGGTTTTCGAAGACCCAACCATACGAACAATGGGTGGTTAAGAACGTTCACCATACGGAATCTCGCTTGTTCCCATACCTTTTTAGCAGAACAACTATAGCCTTACCACATCAGAAAAGGTTCTAGTTGGATATGTGAAACTATTTCCATTAACTTTCGAAAAAGGTAGTACGGTAGTACGGTTTAGAACCAACCATTGTTGTTAACTTCCTGATATACTATGAAATGGTATAAATTACCATACTTATTGACGTTATAATAAATACTGTCGTAGCTTATCCGGAATACAGCCATCATGAGTTGTTCTTTAATTTTATTGTGATTTACAAGATTTCTTTTTGTGGATACCTCCCTTGCCCTTGGTAACATGTTTATTGATCTTAATATTAAATGAATAAATAAATGAATTTGCCCTGCAAAACAAACTCCATTCCATTTCTGGAAAATAAAAAGGCCCCGGCAAAACGAACCTGCTTGGATTTCCTTCTTGGATGATGTGAGCCGCCAGCATCGAAATCTCCTTCACATGTAAACGGCTGCTAGCCCTGAATATTTGTGTAGAAATTGCATGCGCTTTTAAGAAATATTTTATACTTTAAGCTAATATTACCAAAGATGATTTACCGAGGGTTTTAAAAATAAAATAAGGAACAAAACAACACAATGAACTTACGAGCACAGTTTCAATCAAAAGCGTTTTCTTCTGTTTGTACCAATTGTAAAAACATAAAGCAACCATAATCGAAACACGTAAGCGTTGTACAAGTTGTTTACAACTTTTATTCGTAATGTTTTGCAACAGTTCAGTATAGTTGATCAACCGTAGCAAAATTTAGCTGGAACATACCAGAAACTGTAACAGTTGAAAGTAGTGTTTCTTTAATGTTTATTACATTCCATAAACCATAACAAAACTATTTTGTGTAAAGTTAACATAGCTAGTAAGGTATCAGTGAAGTTTGAACTGTTCTAGAAATGGTATTTTTCTATGCGGGTATTCACATTATAAACTACCGCGTTGACTGCGCACTCGTGAATGAATGGAAAATGAAACAATGACAAAGAGAGTGCACCAAGAGGTGTGAATGTGTAGGTAGATATTTGTGCACCGAAAGAGGGGAATAACAAATACTACAACAACTTGTTTAAATATTAGAAGATTATTCGTCAGGCATACTTTGGAGCGTTTGGAACTCGGGTCTAATTTCGAAACATTATTTTCAAAAGTTGTCCTCCTCAGGGCAGAGAATCTGTACGTTCGAGGGACCAAAACCGTACCCAGCAGCCTACCTCCGAATGCTGACCTCTGCTGACCTTCAGTTTTTACAAAACACTACACTTAACACATTAAATTCACTTTATTAACAGTTTACTACATTAAAACATTTATTATTAAGCAAAATTTATTCTTAAATAAAAACAATTTAAAATTGGGTTTGCGCGAGGGCCTTGCCCCTTTCGACCGTATCCGACGGTGATCGAGTGGTGACTGATCTCTGCTTCGTTAGAAGAGATCACATATTGTTGACGATTCGTTCCTCTCAAGGCTCTCAGCATCCCGACGATAATCCTCGATCCGTGAACTCCGACAGTAACCCACGGTTTGGACAGTAGTAATAAAGTTGTGCTGGCTGCGTACGTGGTTAACCTAATTGGTAAGGTATAATCGTAGACATCATCGCCCACCCTGAAGTAACTGGTGACTTCTGAAAAGAAAAAAAGAAAGATCCCTTTCGACGCACTGGATGGGTACCACTGGTAGAACTAATCGCTTGCGGCATCATTCGTCGGACTTCAGTCTTCTTGTGTTGGTAGTAAGCAAAGTTTGACAAGAGGTCTTGTCAGAAATCCTGTTGCTGTCTTCAGTGTCGCTACACGTGATATACCGTCCGGTCCTGGATGAAGCTGATGAATTCTACCTAATTTCCATTTCATCGGTGGTAAATTTGGATCTACGATGACAACGAGCCTGCCGACGTCCAACTGTATTGCTGGTTTCCAGTTCTTCATTCGCCCCTGCAGCTGTGAGAGATACTCGGTTCGCCATCGCCGCCAAAAATCCTGTAACTGCCGCTGTACCATCTGCCATCGGTTCAGCCTATTCAATTTAATGCTGGTATAATCTGGTTCTGGCAGCGCCTGTAGAGATCCACCAGTTAAAAAATGAGCCGGTGTCAGAGGCTCGAGATCTGTAGGTTCATCAGATAAAGGAGTCAATGGCCTTGAATTTAGGCAAGCTTCGATTTGTGCTAGAAGAGTTGTGAAATCTTCGTATGACGCAGGATTTCCTCCCAGTACCCGTAGAAGATGAAATTTTGCTGAGCGAACTGCGGCTTCCCACAGCCCGCCAAAGTGCGGGGCAGCTGGAGGGTTAAAGTGCCAGTGTATTTCTTGATTAGTGCACTCTTTCGTAACTGCTTCCTGATGTCCATTATCCTTCAACAGCTGAAACAGTTCCTTCATTTGATTTTTGGCTCCGACAAAATTGGTCCCATTGTCAGAGTATATGTCGGTGCATCTTCCTCGTCGTGCTATGAACCGTTTCAATGCTTGCAGAAAACGATCAGTACTCATATCCGTGACCAGTTCCATATGAACTGCCTTAGTGCACATACACACGAAAACAGCAACGTATGCCTTTATTGCAGCTCGTCGTCGACCATCACGGATATAGACCGGTCCAAAATAGTCAACGCCGGTTTTGGAAAACGGTCTGGCGACCGTCACTCTCGCTGTTGGTAGTTCACCCATTTGCTGCTGAAGAATAGAAGGCTTTGCTCTGAAGCAGCGTTGGCATTTGTGAACCACCTTCTTTGCAGTACTCCTTCCTCCTAGTGGCCAAAATCGTAATCGAACCGTGCTGAGAAGTAACTGTGGTCCCGCATGCAATAATTTTTCGTGATAATGCTTCATGATCATTTCAGACAACAAGTGTTTTGCTGGTAGAATCATCGGGTGTTTAGTTTCATACGTTTCTTTTGACTGACCCAATCTTCCACCAACGCGTAAAACTTCTTCCTTTGCCATTACAGGTTTAAGCCAGCGTAAAACGGATCCATTTTGTACGGAGCTAGTTTTGGACAGCGCTGCACTTTCCTTGGAGAATGTTTCTTGCTGTACACATCGTACAATCACCATCTCTGCTTGCTTCAGTTCCGTGCTGGTTAAGAACCCATGGCCTTCCGATCTGGTGTGACGTAATAGTGCCATTAATCGTAGCCAATACGCTGTACTCCGGAGCATCTTGGTGTACGAAGAGAATTTAGAGATGAACGAAACGCTGAACGGTGGTTCTACCGTGCCTATGTTGACTACAGTGCTACATCGTTTTTCAGGAACATCCTCCAGATGAACATCTTGTTGATGTGGCCATCCCGTCTGCTCGTCCTTAAGCCAATTAGGGCCCTCCCACCACAAACTGCATTCCTGGATTATTTTTGGTTGAACCCCTCGCGATATTAGATCCGCTGGGTTGCTGATACCTGGTACGTGTCGCCATGTATGATTTTCCGTGATTCGTTGTATTTTTGCGACTCGATTCGCCACAAATGTGGTCCATGCGTTCGGAGTCGCACTGATCCATCGCAGTACGCATGTTGAGTCTGTCCAGAAGAATGTGTGACATGGACCCTTGATTGCTTCCGATGCTTTTTCGAATAGCTGTGCTGCTAGTAAAGCACCACACAGCTCCAGTCGTGGTAACGATTGTACCTTCAAGGGAGCCACCTTAGATTTGGCCGTGAATAGTTGAACCGACAACTTGCCTTGCTCGTCCACACTTCGAATGTACAAACAGGTACCGTACGCCTTCTCCGAGGCATCTGAGAAACAATGTATCTCAATTGATTTTGCCTTTGATACGATCACGCAGCGAGGTACTCGAAGCTCGTTCAAGCATACCAGTTGCTCATGAAAGTTTCGCCACTCCTCCCCCACCGTGTTTGGTAATGGTGCATCCCAATCCAATCGTTCTCCTCGTTCATTTCGCAAACTCCATAAATGCTGCATGATGATTTTCGCGAGTGTTATAGTTGCCCCCAAAAGTCCAAGAGGGTCAAAGAGCATCGCTATGGCAGACAAAACCTTCCGTTTGGTAAGAATTTCGTCTGGCTGGAAGGTTGGTATTTGAAATTGGTATTTGAAGCAGTCGGTTGTTGGTAACCAAGTTAACCCCAAGGTTTTTACTGATTGATCCTGTTCCCAATTAACTTCCTCCGTGGTCGGAAGCGCTAGATTGTCTCGCGGTATCCCATACAAAGCTGCTGAGCAATTAGACGCCCATTTCCTAAGCTTGAACCCACCACTTGCCATCATGGCGTTTAATTGTTTTTGTAGTTCCACTGCTGTTTCAATGTCATCTGCACCTGAGATAACATCATCCATGTAGATATCCTCATCTACAGCCTGTACTGCAAGGGGGTACCTTTCCCGCTCGTCTACAGCTAGTTGCTTGATCGTACGAGTTGCCAAAAAGGGTGCCGGTTTCGTTCCATACGTCACCGTCGTAAGCTCATACGTTTCAACTTCTTCGTCTGTCTCGAACCGCCATAAAGTACTTTGCAGTGGAATATCCGTTGGGTTCATATTAATCTGCTGATACATTTTTTCCGCATCCGCTACCAGCATCACCTGACGGGTACGACTGCGGAGAACTATTGTACGGAGATCTTGCTGGATGACTGGCCCGACCAGTAGTGTATTGTTGAGGGAGATCCCACTCGACGTTTTGCACGAGGCGTCGAAGACAACCCTCACCTTTGTAGTTGTGCTGGCCTCCTTCACAACTGGATGATGTGGTAAGTAGCACCGCTTACTCCCGTTCAGAGCATCATCCTCCACCTTCCGCATGTGACCTAGTTTCAAATATTCCGTCATGCAGGCCTTGTACTGTTTCGATAGGTTCTCGTCCCTTGAGAGCCTGCGTTCCAGTCCTTGCAGACGTCTAAACGCAATGTCCTTAGATTCCCCGAGTTGTGATAGAATATCCTCATCCTTGGGAAGTGTCACAATGTAACGACCGCCTGCTTCCCTTTGAACTGTGCGTGCATACTGCTCCTCGCAGCGTGCTTCCTCTGGAGAGTAGTTGTTGGAAAATCCCACTTCCTCGCAGGTCCAAAAACGTTCCATGAGTTTTTCCAGATTGTCTGAAAATGCCATATTACAGACTGCCCTAGTTGATGATGGAGTTTCAGTAACTTCTCCTGACACAACCCATCCAAATACCGTCTCCGTTAGCATGGGAAGACCGTGACCCAATGACATTTCATGTCCTGTCTTGAAGAAGCTGAAGAAGGATTGTATTCCCAAGACCAGATCTACTGTGCTTGCCTTGAAGAAACTAGGATCAGCCAATTCTATTCCTTCTGGAAATTCCCATCCTTTAGTATGCACCGATGTTGTAGGTAGATTGACGGTCACCTTTGGTAACACCAGAAAGCTCAGGGACCGACAAAATAGTGAAACTCGTGACTTAATTGCCACTTGCAGCCGCTGTGTTGCCCTTGTCGCGACGTGGCCAATACCCAACACCGACACGTCGACCTTCTCTCTGCTACGAATGTTCAAGCGCTGACTCAATGTCTCCGATATGAAATTGCATTCTGAACCGGAGTCAAGCAATGCACGAGCTGGATACCGAGATCCCGTATCGTCTTCAACGAGAACTAATGCTGTGGCAAGAAGAATGCTTGAAGTCCGCCCATGAGCCATGTTAGATGATGCAGTGCTAGAGGATGCCGTATTCGCCTCTTGCTGATTGGTTGCTGCCGACGACCTGTTGTTATTGCCAGAACCTCCCTTATTTCCATTTGGGGCAGCTTGAAGTTTTGAGTCTGATTCACCCTTAAAACAGACTAGAGTGTGATGATGAGCCTTACATTTCCGGCAAGTGTACTTTGAAGAACATTCCCTTGCCTGGTGTCCTCTCTTAAGGCAATTCCGACAAAGAGCATGTGTACGAATCAGAGACTCTCGACTGGAAACCGTCATTTGAAGAAAGGATGGACAAAGATGCAGCAAATGGTTCTCCGTGCATGCAGGGCATTTCAATGAAGTTGACTGCACAGCGTTGTTGGTGACACGAACCCACTGTTTCCTTTTTATTACCGCTGGTACCGACTCTTGACGACTATCCGAAGATCTTATGGGTAGCGATTCTAAAATACGAATCCGACGTTGAATAAAGTCAATGAGTTCCGGCAAAGTGTCTTGTTCTTTCGTTGAAGAGAACTCTTCCCATCCACGCCGTGTACTGGGGTCCAACCGTGCACTGAGAACTTCTATCAGCAAAAGATCCTTATAATCAGCCGGCTGAACTACTTGATCCAATGTTTGAATGGATCGCTCAAACCCTTCCAAAAGCCTTTGCAGGTCGATCACAGATTCCTTCCCAAGGTTTGGCAGTTTGAAAAGCGCCTGAACCTGCCTTTTCTTTAGCAACTTGCTGTTATTATATCGCTTTTGAAGGGTTTCCCATGCTATCGAATAGTTGCCTCGAGTGATTTTCAATGAATCTACTAACGCCTTCGCTTCACCTCCGAGACAACCCTTAAGGTAATGGAATTTTTCTACTTCTGATAAATCTGCCTTCCGGTGAATCAATGAAGTATAAAGATCCCGAAAGCTCAGCCACTCGTCTATGTTGCCGTCGAAATTTTGTAGTTTAATTTGCGGCAGACGAACATGGTCCATCCCTCCATGCGACGTTGCAGCTGATTCGTCGAGAGCTGACGTATTTGTAAATTCCTTGGCCTTGTCAAGCAAAAATGACTTGACGTCATAGTAGCGGTTTTCAAAATCCGAACGTTCCTTTGAAAATACATCGCTTTCACTGTATTCCTCGTGAGTTTCGATTTCATAGAGAGAATCACTAATTTTCTCCCATAGATCATCTAAACGTTCAAGACGCACGTGAATTTGGCTAGCAGTGGTACCCTCCGGAAAGTTCTCAACGAATTTGTAGATATTGTTGACGGAAGTTTGTTGCCCCTTTAATTTAGTGTAAAGAGACTTCAGTGGTGGACCTTCCTTGGATCTTGAAGGCATGTTGACGGATTTTAAAAGAGCAGCGTCTGAACGAATTTATGGACGATGCAACCCGGTACAGCCTGACAATCCAACAAATCCAAAATCGAAAGAAAAGAGAGGTGTAGTATCCAAATGGCCCACTTCGGCCAAACATATACTATGTAGTCTCACCTTTGAAACTAATAGCTGCGCTGGATGACCGAAGGATTCTAGTAGCAACCTCCAATTTTCTTAAAGCTCGTTCAATGTGCAAGCCAATGTACGATTAGCTTTCATCCACACATATAGGTTAACTTATCACCGATTCAGGAGTGTCGAAAGAGAAAATGGCGGATGTAGTATCAATAATCCAACTACGGCCGGACATATACCGTTTAGCTTTACCTGGGCAAAGAACGAAGGCGCCAACCCAGTACGATCTGAACCCCAATGAAACCGTAGGTTCTCTTATGCGACGATCGTTGGCGAGACAATGAAGCGATAGAATTCCATAATGAATGAGCAAATTTCGTTCCGACTGCACCAGCTATTCCACGATGACTGGACAATAGTATTCAACCAGTACGTGAGGGAAATAAAGCACTAATGTAGTATCCAACAAAACTTGCTTCGGTAGACATATACTATGCCTCACCTGGACAATCAATGATGATGCAGGGCAATCCAACCGAGGTGAAGTTCAGCGAAGAAGATCGTCGAAAGTAGTTGAGAGATTTAATCTCGAACCTCGCAAATCAGGGATTCGTCCGCAAGAAAGTAGTGATCCAATGTTCGCCGAAAAGGTACAATTTATTGTTGGAGTACAGTTCACAAATCCAGCAACGGCTGGACATATATTTGTGTTAAAATTTACCTGCCAGAAATTATGGCTCAGCGACGTCCTCCGTAGCGTTATCTCAGTCACCGTCACCACTCGATATCTGCGAAATCTTTGATTCGGAATATCGCCCACCGTATCCATTCACGGCAGTCTACAATCCACAGATGTGGTCACCATATGACGACTCGCTTTTGGCAATGGTTGAGCCAGCCTAGTAGATGTCGAGCGAATCTCAGTTCCGAGAGTAAGAGTGAAGAAACGAAATTTGGTGTAAGAAAGTTGCAGGTCGATGCTTCGGCTGCACATATACTCGTTCTTACTAACCTGGTAGGAAAGTAGAACAATCTCCTGATTATTCTACGGGTGTCACTGCTTGTAGTGAAGGCACCAATTAGAGATGATGACCACAGCGTGTATGTCCAAGCTGTTCTTTTCGGTGTGAACTCCGTTGAACCCAAGCCAATCGAAAAACAATGATGGCACTGTTGGATAGTGGCGATGGCTGGTAGCGATGGCTGATTACACTGGGTTCCCTTTGTTGGGTTGCTGGCAATTGTGTTCTCCGGCACAATGAAGACAACGCCGAATTAATGCCGTCGCGATGGTGAATAGCCTATTGTAGCATCCTTTGGGCCTCGAAATCCGAAATTTTCCGGAATGTATCCGGCTCGAAGGACCAACTATGTACGTTCGAGGGACCAAAACCGTACCCAGCAGCCTACCTCCGAATGCTGACCTCTGCTGACCTTCAGTTTTTACAAAACACTACACTTAACACATTAAATTCACTTTATTAACAGTTTACTACATTAAAACATTTATTATTAAGCAAAATTTATTCTTAAATAAAAACAATTTAAAATTGGGTTTGCGCGAGGGCCTTGCCCCTTTCGACCGTATCCGACGGTGATCGAGTGGTGACTGATCTCTGCTTCGTTAGAAGAGATCACATATTGTTGACGATTCGTTCCTCTCAAGGCTCTCAGCATCCCGACGATAATCCTCGATCCGTGAACTCCGACAGTAACCCACGGTTTGGACAGTAGTAATAAAGTTGTGCTGGCTGCGTACGTGGTTAACCTAATTGGTAAGGTATAATCGTAGACAGAATCGCTTTTTAATTTGTTTTTTGCAATTCCCGCCAGATAACTTTCATGACAGGATAGCGTGTTACCTGCTACGGACATTTTTCAGACGGACCAAGAGCTGAAGATCGTCGTCTATTATGATTGAATCGAATTTAATCTCGCATTTTGGTACTGAGGCAGCTCTTGCTTCAACTATAGAAGTAGTCAGAGATTCAAGGGTATATTTAATATCATCTTTGGTTTGCAAAGGAATGTTTGGATCAACGTTATATTCCATAAATGTTCGATATTGTTTCCAGCAGCTCTATGGTAATTGAAAGTAGAGCTGTTGGGATTAGAAATTATTTCTTGGGATATTTCAAAAGTTACTGGAAGGTGATCATAACCGAAGTCAGCATGGGTAACCAATTGGCTACAAAGTTGACATGAATCAGTTTAGACTAAATCAATAGTTGAGGGATTTCTTGATGAAGAAAACCATGTTGGGCTGTTTGGATATTGAATAGTGTAATAACCTCGGTAATAACATAGAGACCACTGGGTCCCGAAGAAAATCATTATTATTTTTGGCTCACTCAGTACCAGAACAACGGTCCCAAGCAGTCCCAAGCTATTTCACTCACCCCTGCATGTTCTGCATGAATCCACACACCCCTGATGTTATCTGTCAAACTTTCATAGCGAATCAAAACAAACATAGTGTAGTAATAGAATTTCAACTAGAATAGGGTACGTTAATCGTTTGCTTGGGACCAATAGGCTACTAAAGTGGTGAGCCAATTTAAAATCGTTAGTTTCGTATTGATTGTTGGTAATAACCTGCAAAACTATCATCAAACAGCAAAACTAACGATTTTAAATTGGCTCACTACTTGACTAGCCTATTGGTCCCAAGCAAACGATTAACGTACCCCATTCTAGTCAAAATTCTAGTACTACGCAATGTTTGTTTTGATTCGCTATGAAAGTTTGACAGATAAAATGAGGGGTTATTCGATTTTCCTATGTTTCGAGGGGTGAATCGATTAGCTTGGGACCGAAGAGAGTACCAGAGCTGAGGCAAAAAGTTGAGCACGTTATTTCGGGGCCTTCTAGTCTCTTCTAGTGTGTCTGTTTTTCATCAAGTCGCTCCAACAATGTGCAACGCGTAATTCGTCCAGGATATTACCAAATCACTGTTTCAGCAACTACAAAATCAGTGGAACTCGGACGAACAGACTACA